ATGCAGAAATGGAATGCAGAGTGATAGCTGAGTCCCTTTCGTGGGATTCTAAACTCCGATGTATTTCTTGGAGGGAGTTGGGATTTCCCTAAGAAGTTCGACGACCCACTTCTTTAGTTGTCGACTTGTTTGGTCAATGTGCAGGCTGTACACTTTCTACATTTTTTTCTTGTAAATGAGATTCGATTGATAAGCTCTTTGTCATCAGTCATTGAATCGCATCAAGAGTGAACGAAGGGTGTTGATTACCTTAAATGTGGCCCGCATCTTGAAATGGTTCAATATTCGTTGAATGTCTTCTGATCTTAATCATTTTCTAAATTAAAACTAACATTTACTGTGCATATCTTGTAGTTGGACTAAATATTTGCACCGCTTCATTTAGTTATGAACCGTAAGTTTGTCATACATTCTTGTTTCTGGTTCTTTGTAGCTGGGTACGTTTAAGTCAAGAAGTTCCATGGGATTTTATTTTATTAAAGCTACATGCCTGGTGCCAAACATGTTTTCATTACAAACCAGTAGTCATTACACAACCAAGCCTAGACTGAAGCCAGCAGTACGATTCCTCCAGCTTCCCAAGGGCATCTGTTTCGTTGGATAGATATAGATGTATCTCATAACACGCATGTTGGCCTGCAATTTGGTTCACCTACTGTCAGTCATACTGAGCTTACAGAACCTTGATAACCAATAGAAGCACTACAGAACAATTTCACACCACATCTAGGATGACATAAGCAGTAGCTATAGCAACCAGAATGACGAATAAAAAGTCATCTTTAAATCCGGCGGGTGAAAAAAACTAATATAGTTTGATCGATGTTATTGCTCCGCTGCACCAGCGATTCACAGCTAGCTCATCGACTGTTCCGACTTACTCTGCAGACAAAGAGTTTTTGTATTTGTTTTTGTATGACCAGTATTTACCTGGGTTTCTAAGCAAAAACCAGGGTTGTTGACAACAGTGTTGTGTGAAGAATTAATTTCCAAACTTGCTTAGTCTCATCACCGGTGGTTGGGAATCCGGAGACACGATCAGTATTCATTTATCGGCTTGCTGTTTGATATGTGACTGGAAATATCTCCATGATAGTTGATCCTAGCCATTCTATTTCTGATTATGTCATACTGCAGAGTATGAATGTCTGTACAACGCTCTTTACCTGGCAGATTCAGGAGTGGCTCTGTGAGAAACGGGAACGCCTGGACGAAGTAGATCGAGTGATGGCCACCAGTCACCTAACGCCGGACGATAAGGAAGCCTATCGTGCATTTGTGGGCAAACAGTACGCTCAATTCCGTCAACTAGAATCCGAATTAGATATGCATACACAACGCATTCAACAAGTGTTTCAGGTAAATTCACACGGTCACCAGTGTTTGGAACCCCTAATTTGTACATTTCATTTCAACTCAGTCCATGCGTGATCTATCGGAAACTCTACAAACAAAAGATCAATCAATGAATGAAAAAGAAAGCGATCATGAAATCTGTCAGCGAACGACATGCGTGGTCGTTTACTATTTTGCACCTTTCCTCAAAACCTTCAACTCTTTGACTCCGATCTGTGGTCAGTTAGACTTGACGCATAAACCCTAACCTTACTGCTGTTGTTGGCTAGTCAGATCAAAAAGTATCGCCGGGTGTAAACAATCTGTCTGGCATATCTCGTATCAGATAAGTTTAATTGTTCGAATTTACTGAATTTCTTTCTAGTGGGATAAAAACACACTTTGTGATGAAACGATGCGGGGAAGGGGGATCACTGTCCACGATAGAAACTACTGGGACATTTGGTTTTTCCGTGGAACAGCTTGACACAGCTTGATACAAAATAAAAGTACGCAAAATAATCTTTGTAAGAAATTCATACTTCAAGGTATCGGCAATAAATGAACATTCTTTTATGTTCAATTTAGGAGTTCAAGTGAACTAGAGACTTCCTACGGGTCTACACTCCCATCCTTTAAAATCTATGGCTGCGACAGTACCATATATTCTAGTTGGTCTCGTTAATATACAGTCTCAGTTTTACATTATCAGATCGATGTATCCAAGCGGCGTATTCGGTTAGCTTTCATGTTTTGCTTCACAGGCTGGATAGTTGGATTTTGAAACGAAAAGTGCTATCTATCCCGGAATGGATTAGTCAAATCTTTCCTGATCGATGTGCCCGGGAATTCGTTCTCCATTCTCTCCTTTAACTGTTTTAATGTACTTCTTGAGTTCTTATCGACAGTATCACAAATACTTTATGAACTTAGTGATTGTATTATTTCCCGATACGAGGCTGCAGTGATACAGTATATTTCAATTCTATTGTCGAGGTATTTGGCAACTTCTACCGAACATTTATGAACATTTATCTATTTTCCGACGGTCTTCTGCGCCGATGAAGCGCGAGGGTCTTGTCCTCGACCATTCCATTTAACCGTTCTCCGTATTGTGGACATATGACATTTTCCTTAATGAATAGCTTGAACAGTGATGTGACTTACTGTGGTGATCATCCAACGAGTACGCACAGACAAAGTTACAGCTTCCAGGCAGCCAATCGGGAAACGGATTCTCCGACCAATCCTATGGTTCCAAGTAGAATCGATCGGATTGGCTAAATGAAAATGAGCCATATCGTTATCGATTGGACCTTGAAAAATGGACCATTGGTTCTTTGATACTTGAGGTATTTATATGATGAATTCGTGGTGTAAGTGAATTGTGAACTAAAATGGTGGAAAGCGCTGGACAGCTGTTTTGACCTAATTGGATCTGAGCAGCAGTGCTTGAGATATTCACTTGCATGATTTTTCAAATGGAATGGACTCTATTTTCAGCTCGTCTTGGTTCTATGTACATTTGTATTTGTTTTAATTGTGTAAGCTTATACGCTTACATCCCAGTTAAAAATGCGCACTGGTCGTCGCACCAAATAGAGACCGTGTGGACGAATGGGAACGACAAGAGGATAGTTCGAGATGCAGCGGCTGAAGAGGGTTGTGCAGTATCTTATTGATAAATTTAATGCAATAGCGTTAAGGTCTGCGGTTAATGAGTTAACCGAGATCATTGATGCATGATTGATTACTACTAAACCACAATGAATGATTCTGAAATCTTCACTTAAAAGGCCGAGAAACAATACAGGAGAGAAGTAGAGTAGATTGAGGAAATGCATTGGTGAACGAAAGAGGATGAAACTGAATGTGAGCTTTGGAATCTTCTGAGTTATCGTTGCTGAAAAGAGAGGCATCTCAGTTTCCCCATACAATTGTAAGTGTGTGAGAACCACCAGAGCTAAGTGTCACTGAAATCCAGAAATCATTCTAAAATCGCAAGCTTACAGTTAAGGGTAGCAGAGTCCGTTTGAAATGAGAAGCGAGAAAGTGTGAATAAAAACTACGGGCACTTGGGCGCGTGAAGATTAAAAGTGCTGGTGGTGGGATAGATTTTCAGTGAACGAAATAAATTTCGAGGAATAGGAAATAGTCTGGCACAAAACGACATTGGCAATATACTTATGGATCAGCAGTGAAAGCAGAAAATCGATATGAAGGTAAAACAACACCTTGCAGCACAGAAATTATTCGGTGTATTGGACCGTCTCTGTGAACTAGTTAGAAAGCCATGAGAGCAGCTGTCTCGAAGTGCCAAAGGAATTGAGTTTGAAAAGAAGGGATGGTCGAAAAACAGGCGAATAGCCAAGAAAGATATCACGAACACACTCGGTGGAATCTTTCAATGACTTACTGATAATATGGATCACCGTGGGGACGGCATTTAGTGTAGTGTAGATCTTTCGGGTTTATATGTGAACTGGAGGGGGTCATGGAATATTGTACTAATGACTGTAAGTGATTCAGGATGGTCTTCTCAGTCAATTTTAGTTCTACAGGTGCTAGTGCGATAACACGAAACCGTTTTTAAAAGAACAGTTGAGAACAAGGACTTGGGGATTGAAATAACGGTGATTTGAGGCCCAGAATAGACTGACAAGACGGACACCATAACGAGGAGTATCATTACATTGTTTGGGGAAGCTGCTTCAGATTTGAGAAATACTAGAGAAAGAACGTCAGGACTTGCAACAGAGGATGCTTTGAAGGACCGTAAAAGCTTGAAGATTGAAACAGCTGACGCAGTTACCGCGATCAACTCCCGCAGCAGAGTACAATGGCCACACCTAATTTGGTAATCAAGCTTTGTAACGTTAACATTTTGCAAGACATAACATTGTCAACCTTCGTTGACCTTCGGAATATTCCGTCCGTACCAGGACAGAATGGCCAAGGTTTCTGTCTCGAGGCTAAAGGACTACAGTAATGGAGTTAGAGAATTGCACATCCCAAACTCGACTCCTAAAAGGTCAAGTAAAGCAAGTAGACAATCTCAAAACTGTGCAATCAATTCTGTGCCAAGTATATGACTCGGGATTTGTAGAAGAAATAAATTCACTTGTTCCACTCCTAAATTAAAACCAAATGGTTGATGATGTAATTAGCGAAAACAACATCATCATCCCAAGAAGCTTTAGTCAGAACAAGTACCGTCATGTGTTTTCTTATACTAAGTAGTATATGAATGGCGGGCCACAACTAAAGTAGTTTCCGGCAATCTAAAAATGTTTCATTCATTCAGTCCTATACGATGTAACCCAATGGTCAAATGGATATAGCTTGCACGTGTACAAATCAATCCAATCAGTTTGAGGGCAAACAACATGACTGTTCATGATGGATTGAATGGACAACACTCAGTTGTAATTTTTCGGTTTTTCTATCAAGGAGTTTGTGTAAGCGGGAAAGTAGAAACTCCAATCGGCATGACCATTATACACACAAAGAACATATTACATCCAGAAGTTCTATTTTGCCTGTTCGCCTAGTTTGACAATTTGTTTGCAAATGTGTCATCATCAGCGTTTGTGAAGTGGCAGTCTTCTGCTTGTACCTGTTCGTTCATATAGGTGTTCTTCTCTATCGACTACTTTTGTCCATTGTTCTAACTGTGTTCCATTCGGTTCGCGGTTAAACTGGTGCGTAGGGGTGAGGTTGCTAGGGGACGTGGTTGTCCCTCCGTCCTGATTGCGATTTTGGTCCGTTCTCAGGTCAAGATGTGACCATTTTTGTAATGTTGCGGAAATCACAGCAAGACTGTTCAGATCATGTGGAATCCAAATCGGCCTTAAACCGCCATCCATAAACTGCCCAAAACACTATATCAAGCAAAACTGGGTTAAAATCGTCAACGAGGATCTGTGAACACTAATCGACAGTCAGGAGACATAACCTACTATCTTTGACTTCCCTCCACGAGGATCAAGAAGGACAACAAATTGGCTTCGAATCAGTGAGAATTATCGACCAAGTCCGGTCAAAATACGCCAGAGAATTTCTCGAGGCTTGGAACTTTTCATTCAAGTCAATAAACCGCCACATCGAGCTGGATCACGTGTATACACCAATACAGCTCAAGGATCAAATGACGCAACAAAAATAGTCACGTTGCAACTTGTGATCGACCACAATGGTAATAGTCGGTAGAGAAGAACACGGATACCAGCAGCAGATTGCCACCTCACAAGCACTGTTGCTGTTACCTCTACGAGTGATGAAACGTTTGCAAACAAATTGTCAATCTCGGCGAACAGGCGAAATAGAATTCAGTTCATTCGAGCTACGAGAACCGATTTTCAATAATTTGTCAACATCCAGATAGGTTCCCTGAAACAAGATAACTGTCTACCTGGCATTTTCATCCAAGCGAACAGTGAACTTGAGCTATGAAATTGGGGTATTCGATATGATATATGTACGTAACCTGTTGGCCTCGATCTGTTCCACTGGCAAAGCCTAGAAGCAAAAAACAACTTGGAGTGACCAAAACAGTTCAGGCATTTCTGCACGTATATGAAAATGACCGGAATGAGTATTGTCTATTTTACAATTCAATTTGGAAAAAATCCAACACTCATTTGGTGAAAATTTACTCGCAACTGAACTCCCGTCTGATTTGGTGCTTCACAACGGGCCCGGTCGTGTGCTTTCATAATTTTTAAGATGAAATAACTCGTCCACAAAGAAATATCAAACGAGTTCTGAGTATTTATATGATACGAGAGAGAGAAAGAGAGCGCGTGAGAGGTGAATACAGATGTGAATTGGAGGGATTTTTTTCGTGTACAGAATTTAAAATTGTACAGCTTCATGGAGCGGAGAAGTAAATCTCCTCATGTGTTCTTTATTGATTGATTTCCACCCCGCCTTCCCCACACACACACACACACACCAGAACGTAGTTAACACCATTGTCCAATACCCCAAATTGTCGGATCGATTGAAGGCCAAGTTGCAGGAAATCACCAGAGATTGGGATGAACTGCGACGTCTGATGCGAGACCGTTTAGCGTGCATGGTTCAAGTCCACCGAGGTAGGTTGTTCGCTCTCCTGCCCCGTGCGACCAAATCGCTTGGTCCAACTCCTTTTCCTGTTACAAAACTTCTTCGTATATTCTGTGTTACAGTCCTGTGCTGTGATCAGTTATGTAATGGTTACTCTCTGCTGACTATCTTTATCATTTGAAGAAACTGAGACAGACTTTTTCCTTTGATAAATTTGAAGAGAGTTAGTGTTTACCTATAAAATATACCAGTTGAGCTGCAGTGACTTCGTCCAGGACATAACTCGTGCAATTTTGCTTCACTAGCTACTAAATTTTAGTTACCATTTGCAATTAATTTTATAAAACAGGACAGTTGCGATGGTTGACCTGAAGTGTCAGATTGTAGTCAGTTTGTGTCTCGAGTTGAGTCGATCTCTTGATTTACTTACATGCCACAATGTGTTGATGATCACGGGGCGCCAGTTGAAATCTGACTGGTTAAGAGTGGCAGCCAATGAAATCGGTCTCAATTGATTGTACAACTTTATCAGATGTAAAGGCAATTCGTGATAGGCTGAATGATTGTTGGATATAGTTACTGATTTACATGTTCCTCTTAAAGTTTACTGTTTTAAGGTGACATCTTGGTTTCCCTTTCGGCTTCTTATACTTACTTTTCTTCGTTTTTACGAAACCCAGTGAGGTTGATAAATTTCTTGTTGGTGTTGAGAACCGTCCGATAGAGTGTATCACACATACAGTTTCTTCGAGTGTGTACAGTTCAACAGACAGCTTCAGTTTGGACTATATTGAATTCAATACGTATAGTTTTGCGATCTAATGCCTTCTTTATCTGTCTATCGGAAACTCTGTCACTCTTTGGTTGGACAACCATTCCGGGGATCCACTCCGATCGTACCTTGTAGCACATTTTCTCTTAAATACCACTATTTTGCCATGTGTCTAATGCCAATTTAGTTGGATAGTTTCCTCATAGACGAGTTCCGACTACGTTTCTACTCTGCTCACAAAGAAAGTCTATCTGACTTATTCAGTTAAATGTATTAGTCTCTTCCGATTGCTGCCGATAACCGTGGGGTAACGCGCGAAGTAAAATTCTTCATGAATGTATTAAAACAAACGACTTCGGGACATATAAGAAAAAAAAACCAGCTGGATTGTGCCTATTCACCGTATCATTAATGGGTCAGTGTGGGTCACGTGATCAACCGAGTATCACAGGAAAGCTTTTACGCTACGTTGTCGCGCTTTTATTTTCAAGCTCGTTTTTGAAACTAGTGAACGAACTTCGGAGACAGTGAACGGTTGCACTATATGTGCATCCATCATAGAAAACTGTCCAGACCAGAGTTTTGATACACTATTCCAAACAATTCTCACAATTATCGGATCTGTTTAAGTAGTTCAGCGGAAACTGAACGCTGTCTCAATTTAAATCGACCAGTGGGTAATCAGCTAGTCTGTAATTCATTGTGTAATTTTAACACGATAGAATTGACATAGAAGAGTTTTGAGACAATGGATTCCGATTGGCTGAATGTCCCTGAGCGGAAGATGCTAATCGACTTTCTGTATTCGACCACCTGTGTCTCTGAGGCATTGATTGCTCATGTCTGGTGGGAACATCGGGCGAGCAATGATGAGGTTCGTCGTCGTATTTCGGATGCGGATGCCTGCCTATAGGCACCTTTTCGTGCTCTCTTTGCACGTACCGGGCAAGGCTGAGAGGATCTCCGACCATGACTCAGATCATAATATCACGTAGAAATTTGACGAAGCTGGTTTCAGCTTTGGCTTCGGTGGGTGCAATCGGCCTTACAGGTTAAGGCCCAAACGACGAGGATTGCCGTTGGTTAGAGACGCTGAGAAAGATATGGCCCCGAATAGAAGTCAGTGGTGCGAATGTTATAGGGTCTGCCTGTTGAAATCCCGTGCAATTTTAACACGACACAGTTGACATAGAAAAGGTTTGATATAGTGGTTTTATTCTTGTTGGATGTCCTCAACAGTGTGAACACATCTACCTACCGGAGAACTCACAGGTAGAATGCAATTCGACCACCCAGTTGAGCAGTGTTGGACAACGGATCAGACTGTTTTCCACTCTCTTTGGCCTCTCTCTCT